CTTCTTTTTTGACTACCTCGGTATACCTATATTCTATTCCATTTTTTTTTTTTTTTTTTTTTTTTTTTCAACTTCGTGGAAGCTTCGATAACCCTTTAAAGCATCATTATGATTTTATTCCAGTATATACATTTTCTTCTTTTATTTTGGGACTGAGTGTAACAAGTTGAAGGGCCGCATGTATTAGACTTGAGACTGTTAGAGCAATCAACTCTATGAATTGGTACGAAGTACGGAGTACGGAGTATACTATAGAGCATATCAATTGTTGGGGACAGCACGTGATACCCCGGATCATCATTGACCCAACGACATGACCTCAGCTCCAACCTCCATCATTGCGCCGTTGTTCTCTCATTGTGACATTCATCAATCCATCGTTTCTAAGAGATACAATCAATATCTAGCGCATCTAATTCATCCAATTCAATACTACTCGGTGTCCTCCAACTAGCACGCGCGGGGTATCAGCTCACAGATAAGATCGAGACCGACAATGGACGGCCGCAAGAAGAAGAGAAAGGTCCTCCTCATGGGGAAGAGTGGCTCTGGGAAGTCGTCAATGCGATCTATTATCTTCAGTAACTACGTCGCCAAAGATGTCCGACGATTGGGCGCTACCATCGATGTCGAGCACAGCCATGTCAAGTTCATGGGGAATCTCACGCTGAACCTCTGGGATTGCGGAGGGTATTTCCCCTGCCTACTCTATCGAAAATGAGAAAAGATGTTAACTGTCGCAGACAAGACGCCTTCATGGAAACCTACCTCGCCTCCCAGCGCGGCAACATCTTCTCCGACGTCGCCGTCCTAATCTACGTCTTCGACATTGAATCCCGCGAAGTCGAACGCGACCTCGACACCTACAACGCCATCATCGACGCCCTAAAAGAACACTCCCCACACGCCCACGTCTTCTGCCTAATCCACAAGCTCGACCTCATCCAGGCCGAACACCGCCAACGCATCTACGAGGAACGCTCCGCGCTGATCCGCTCCCGCTCCGGACACTTCGCCATCGACACCTTTGGCAGCAGTATTTGGGATCAATCGCTGTACAAAGCGTGGGCGGGGATCGTGCACAGACTCATCCCGAACTTGACAGTGATAGAGCGGTTCCTTGGCGCGTTCGCGAAGAAGATCGGTGCAGAAGAAGTCATTCTCTTCGAACGCTCGACATTCCTAACTGTTACATCGGTCGCGTCGGAAATCGGCGACTTGAACCCGATCTACGACCGGCACGAGCGCCTATCCAACATCATGAAAGCATTCAAACACTGCGCTGCACGCAACACCCACACCACGCCCGCGTCAGCCGGCTTCCTCGTCATGCACACCAAAACACCCCAGTTTAACGTCTTCCTCGGCCGGTTCACGGATAATACGTACATCTTCATGGTCGTCCCGCCGGGCGAGGCGGCGTATAACTGCGCCGTGCTGAACACCATGCTTGCCAGAGAGGGTTTCTCGAAAGCTGCGGCGGCGGGGTATGGGGATGGGTTTCCGTTGCCGACACCGGAGACTCTGACTCCGGATGGGAATGGGGTGCATGGTTAATGTCTCTTGGGTTATGCCTGTGCTGTGTTGTGTTATATATATGGCGTTTGGGTTGAAAGTAATGCTATATCTTTCGTTCTTTTCTCTTTTACTGGTTACTGGATACCCATGGATAGCATTTCTTTCGGATTCTTTTTTCTTTACGCTGCTTCTATTGGATGGGATGTTACTACTTGTTTCTTGGGCTGAGCGTGTATTTAAAAGTCTGAACATGTTCCTTTTTTAACGGATGCATACCATACCATATTTATCAGTATGGCCGTCTACTTACTTCCCTGCTGTTTTCCATACATGCCACAGGCAGACAGGCCAGTGGATAAATAGATAGAATATCACCGTTGTTTGTAACCGATGTCTGGTCTGGAGAAGTCCCCGATTCGGGAGGTATTATAAATACAAACAAGTAGTTACAAAAGTTGAACGGAGCAATCTTTCTCTTCCCAACAGACAAAATAAAAATAACATATAAAAAGAGAGAGAGGGAAAAAAAAAAAAAAAAAAAAAAAAAAAAAAAAAAAAAAAAAAAGAAAAGAAGAAGACAGGAGTCTTTTAAGTGCTAGGGCAATAAAAAAAATATATCTATAAAACTCTCCCCGGGAAAAAAAATATTTTTTTTTAAATGAAAGCCGAACGCGGGACTCGAACCCGCAACCT